CATGTTAATAAAATAAATACCTGCAAAAGTATTTTACTTAAATCAACTGTCACACTGCTACACTGTCTGGGTTCCAACAGGCAGACACATGCCCCGCCAGCATAGGAAAGACCATAGAGGAGGAACATTCTCCCAACATAAATCAAGTGCTCCCTGCCAGGTCAGTGCCTTCACCTCCGTTTGATTTCAAGCAGTATTGCTGAACCATATGTAAGCTATGTTTTTTGGGTTTTTTTTGGAAGCCGGGTAACTAAAAAAGCTGAAAATTGAATAGAGTTCAGTGTGGACAAGCATTACTGCTTCTTCACAACAAAATGTTTAAAAAAAACAAAACAAAAAAACTCCCCCAAAAAATCAAAACAAAACAGGAAAACCAGTCATTACTACTTTTTTCTGCAGAACAAGGTTCTAAAAGTCAGACTATTCCAACCATTTACAGATGAAGACAGCAACAACTATTATCTCCTGACGACATGTTAAGGTCTGGGACTTATCAGGCAGTGAGTAAGCAATTGATTGGCTATGGATGCAGGAGAAATGGTCAGGTGTAAAGACCTGAGCCACACTGAGAAGAATTAATCATTATGGTCAGATAAGTGGGATGGGCCATCTCTGAAAAGATTGTGGAGGTTCCCCCGTTCAGCAGTGGTGAGAACCTGTCAACAACTACAGGATATTTGTGGACTTTAAAACCATGCTGGACTTGCTGTATTCAAACTTCCCTGCTGCATACAAAGCAACCCCCCGCCCCCACCTCGGCTGCTCTGATCATCTTTCTGTTATGCTGGTGCCCGCTTACAAACCCCGACTAAAGCGCAGCAAGCCAGTTAAAAAACAAGCCAGGATCTGGCTGGAGGATGCATTCTCAGCACTTAAGACTGTTTTATGGACACTGACTGGGAGGTTTTCAAAACAGCAGCCTCCCAGAGTGATCAGACTGACGTTGAGGAGTATGCTGAGGCGGTAACCAGCGACATCGCAAAGTTACAGAGGATGTCACTGTCATTAAGACCTTCACAGCACGTGGAAACCAAAAACCCTGGATGACTGCAGAGGTGCACTCGCTGCTGACAGCCTGTGATGCAGCCTTCAGAGTGGGAGACAGGACTGCTCTTCACTCAGCCAGATCTGAGCTCTCAAAAGGGATCAAGGCTGCGAAACGCACCTACACAGAGAAAATCCAGGAACACCTCTGTGACACAGGAAACACCAGACGGATGTGGCAGGGAGTCCAGGCACTGATGGACGACAAGACCAGGCAGGGGGTCGACGGCGATGGTGCTTCTCTTCAAGACAGGCTGAATAACTTCTTTGCAGACTTTGAAGCATCAAACCCGACAATCGGAAAGAGGGCTGGTCCTCCTTCATCTGTCAGACCAGCTTTCACCATCAGTACCCATCTTGCGAACAAGTTTGGGAATCCCATCCAGTTTGCAATTAAGTTGGCATATCACTTGAGTCTGAGTGTTGGCAGCCCAAAACATTCCCTCAATAACGGGCAGCTTCTCAACTGCCAAAAGTGCTGCCATCGTCTTCCGAACTTTGCGATAGAACAGGAACCCGCAAACTCCAAACAGCAGGAAGCCTGTTATCATAATCCCAATTAAGTAGATGTCTTCAACATCCTCCATGGAAAGTATAGAGAGGCACATGACCCTCCACTCCTTCCAGGAGTCCATCATGTATCCCGCTACAAATGTTCCGTCAGGGCAGGCGGGCTCTCCTTTGCCCAGTTTTCTGATCGAGAAAATGTGATCAATTGTGTTGAGAGACCAGCTGATCATATCCATGATTTCAGGTTTTGGAGAGCAATACAGAGAGAGGCTCTGATAGATTCAGACAGAGACAGCACAAGACGAAGAGCAGCAAGCAGGGCAGATAAGGGCAAGATAAGTTGCTGCTCAACATGGACAAAACGAAGGAGAAGATCGTCGACTTCCGAAGGTCACGTTCTGAGCATGCTCCCCTCAGCATCAGTGTCTGCACAGTGGAGAGAGTGGAGAACATCAAGTTCCTCTGAGTGCAGATCTCGCAGGACCTGAGCTGGAATAACAACACTGCAGCGATCATCAAACGGTCCCAGTAGAGACTGCATTTCCTGAGGAAGCTGAAACAAGCCTCTCTCCCTGCCAGCATCCTCAGGACTTTTTACAGAGGTGTGGTGGAGAGCGTTCTGACATACTGCATCTCAACATGGTACTCCAGCTGCAGTATGTCAGACAGAAAAGCCCTGCAGAGGATAGTTAGAGGAGCTGAGAGGGTCACTGGAGTTTCCCTCCCCTCTGTCCAAGAACTTTTCCAGAGCTGCTGCAGGAGCAGGACCCTGAACATTGTCAGGGACTCCTCACACCCTCTCCATAAACTGTTTGAACTGCTACCATCAGGCAAACGTTCCTGGAGCATTAAAGGAAGAACCTCCAGAATTATCAACAGCTTTATTTCACAAGCTGTCAAAATGTTGAACTGCTGATCTAGATATGCAAACACTTGTTTATTTAAATTGCTTTAAGTTATTGGATCCTGAAAAAATGCTCTTTCATCTTGCCTGTACTACTGTGTATGTACTGTGTATTTCCATCCATCCATCCATAAATCGCTTAATCCTCACTAGGGTCGCAGGGGGCTGGAGCTTATCTCACTTAGGATGAAGGCAGGGGACACCCTGGACAGGTCAGCAGTCTATCACAGGCCTACACAGAGAGACAGCCAAGCACACTCACATTCACACCTACGGACAATTTAGAATCACCAGTTAAACTTAACATGTTTTTGGACTGTGGGAGGAAGCCGGAGAACCCGTTGATAACCCATGCTGCACGGGGAGAACATGCAAACTCCATGCAGAACGACCCCAGGCGCAGTCTGGGATGTGAACCAGGGATCTTCTAGCTTTGAGGCGACACTGCTAACTACCAAGCCACCATGTAGTCCTTAATTAAATTAAATTAAATTAAATTCAATTCAATTTTGTTTTATTTATTTAACACCAATTCACAAAACCAGTGATCTGAAGGCACTTCACATAGCCAGGGGTAGACCTAACAAAGTCTGTTCTACAGAGAAGCACAATAATTCCGAAGATACTAAAATTTCTACATTCAAACAGACCCCATTAAAAAGAATCTGCAGCCTGCTGAGCCTGAATAAGATAAGATAAGATAAACTTTATTGATCTCTCACCAGGGAAATTCACAATAATATTGTTAAAACAAGATTAGGAGTAATGTGAAACAGAACAATTTTGACATTATCTGCTTTGTTAAACACAGCTGCAATCAATGTTCAACTCCTGCTAATACTTTTCTTAAACTACTCATTTGTCTTCTAATGACGTTTAGGAGATAAGCTGGTTTTGACAGATGTAATCCTTGTTTTGGTTTGGCTCTGTAGGAATCTGCACAGCTACTAGTCTCAGCCCCGAGTCCACAAAGTAATTACATGGAAGCTACTATCGAGTTAAGCGTTCTTCTACAATAAATCGACTTTCTCACCAACTAACAAATGTAGTGGGGTTTTCTCTATTCAAAGTAAATAGGAGCAGGTATGGTGCTGTGCTTACCGATGGCTTGCTTCAGTTGCTTCAAAAAAACTGAACAATTAGAGCTTTGTAGAGAGGAGAAAGACTATGGGCATAGCTAGAAATAAGGAGCCATAATTTTTCTTTTGCCAGGTATCTACATCTAGGATGGATGTGTCACTGTCCACTAATGGGATAGGAAAAAAACAAAACAGCAAAATGTCTGTGCATGATAAATCAGTTCCACTTCATGGAAAAACACACAGAGATGTGAAATCCAGTGGTGCATGACCACGTCTTTCAGTTCTGCGATACAAAGCATCTGACACTTGCACTGAAAGACATTTAGTGAGACTCTCTTTTCCCATCGTTTGTTGAAGAAAGTTCCATGAGGAAAGCGAATGCTTGCTCAACGTGTTGGTATTTTGCTAATCATGTGTGTGACTTGGAGTGGTGTGGGTGGAGATAATCGTATCACACTCATCCCGAGACTCCTACTTGGGATGCTTGATAAATGCCAGGCCTCTGTTAGCAGAGTCATCTGTGTTTTGAGGTCCAAGTGTAGCATGCTAACATGAGAATGAGTTCTGATGCATCTGGAAACTCACGTCATGCCAGATCAAATCACTGCCCTTCCCCCGCCTCTATTTTTAACAATATGTTTCTTCATATTCTCTCTCTGCCTACAGATGTTACTGTGCAGCGTCTTACATGCCACCAATGATTTGACTTCAGCTGCAGTGACACCATTAGGGCCGTGATGTCAGAGTTAGTTCTGCAAATGCTGAAAAGGCTCCGTCACAACTCATGGGAAGTCATGCCCACAAATGAAGAATTTAATCTGTGCTTCAACTTGAAGCAAAATAAGACAGCTGACATCTTGCATGCCTGGCATTTTAGTGAATAAATGCTAAAGATTAAGTCTGGTGTAAGGGTACTAAAAGATGCTTCACATGACACTTAGAGGAAGGGGTGGCTCTGTAACCCCAGGAGGGATGCTTAGTCCTTGTGGGGACAAATATTTGGTCAGGAATGTAGTGGAGAAGCTAAGTGGGTAGGAGGAAGCCTGGTTAAGGAGGCCTTTGGAAATGATGAAGAAGAGTTTAAAACTGTTGCCAAAGTGCACACAATATGTGCATGAGCTATGAAGCTTACATGTCCAGAATGGCAAGTAGAGGGACGTTTGTTCCCTAAGTTTGTCCATAAGGCACTGCTTTTTTTTTTACTACAGCCTTACTCCATATGTGTACTGACACTTGCATGTGGCTGCTTTTAACTGTGCATATGGTAAATCACCTTGCAAGATAGCAGTACGTGGCGCACACTTACACAAACACGTACTAAATCTGTTAGGGTACTGTGCACCATGCATACTTTTTCTTTTTCCTTTAAGTGCATACTGCAGCTGCCCTTACAAAGTATGTACTGCTGCGTGCAGTATGTGTACTGTTGACATAATATTTTGTCAGAATATGGCACCAGCTTTTGCTATCTTGCTTATTTAATCGCCACTGTCTGCAGTGTTAAGTACTCTCATCTCTCTCTTTCATACAATTATACACCCTCATTGTATGTCACTAACTTTGAGCCTCCCCCATAATCTGCGTTCTCTCTGCAGGTGTCTCTGGATCTTGAGCTACACGTTTCTAGTCTGCAGTTGCTGGCCTCATTGACCTCCAAAGTATTTACTGTTCTCTTATGTTGAATTGTTCAGGTTGTCGAGTTCAAGAAGCTCAATCAGGAACATGATATCGACACAGAAGCACCATTCGCTCCATTGTGATTGGATCACATGGAATGTTTTCAGCTGTGTCTTTTTGATACATGCTGTACAGTGACTAACAGATTTGTGTACATAGTCATGAAGGACAGAGGGCTGTTACAGTGGGATGCTCAGTATCAACATGATGCTGTTGAGCGTTATGAAAAAAAGTTAGACTTCAGAGCTGGTGACATCATCGAGTGTTTCGAGGAGCAGGACGTACCGCAGGTCACTTCCTGGGATCCTGGGTTGTAACGTCCAACGAGGACCTGCAGCAGTTGAACTGAATGTACATTTAATTATTGAAATTTAATGAAGTTTTATTTGTGTTTGGAACATTGATCAGTGTTCACCAAACTGCCAGCTCAAGGTGTGAGTCAAATGTTCCTTTAACGTTGTGGGAAATGAGCCACAGTTGTTTTTGTCTTATATTGTCCGTCTGTTCTCCATCTCCTATCCTGCCATCCCCAACCATTTCTGCTGATTCATTAGGCTCTCAGTGGCTCAAGCTTAATACTTAAGTGAGACACAGATCTAACAGGACATTCTTGTATTTTTGGCATATAACATTTGAAAAAAATATTTATTGGGAAATACTGAGTTTTTTTGTTTTTTTTTGCACTGTATAGTATGGTTGTATGGGTGTTGGAACGCACCCACAGACGGAGGGGAAACAAACAAGACACCAAAGTCAAAGAGAAAAATCAGGCAAAAAGAAGCAATGCAAAGCCAATACCATGACAGCACCTCTGTATGGCTATAAAAACCAACCACAGCAGTGAAGGGGAACAGTGAGTTGACCACAGGCAAAGCAGTTAAAGAGGTCACACGTTTGTGCTCTGCTTGTTCAACAGGCACAAAATTACTCCCTTACTAGCACATTTTGTTGCACTTTGGGTCAATGTGCCTTGTCCTTGTCAACTCGATTAAAATACAACCTTAAGTCAG